ATTCCATCTTGGGTTTTTGGTTAAAAGTGCATTTTAAATGCAAAATGTACTTTATTTAAAGATAGATAAATTAAATAGATGATACAGATACTAAGATTATATTTGATGATTAAACTTTGAGCTCTTAAAGAGATTTAGGTTTAATTTTTTTAATGTTTTAGACAAGGGGAATGCTTCAAAGGGAAATGCAATCCATGTGCCAGATTCATCTCTTCTTGGCCATGAATTAGAGGGCAGGCTTCATAAATAGTTGAAAATGAGAAATGACATAACTCAGGAAGGTAATTTCATCTTTCAGATCTCCAGAACATAATTCTAAATGAAAATGATCCTGTAATATGTGTCAAGTGGTTTTAGTATAAACGTCCATACATTAGAAAAAGAGATTTTCTAGGAAAGGCTGATTCTAAATGAGAGTAAAGGGGAGACAGAGCAAATGTAAATGACCCTGAAGGTGGGCTGCTTATGTGACCCCAGGGGAAGCAACTTGACCTCCATAGGCTCCGTTTTTTCATCTGTAGAATGAATACTTTAATTAGGACCCCTCACACTGGGCATGGTGGTATGTGCCTATAATCCCAGCTCTTGGGATACTGAATACAGGAGGATCATTTCAAGTCTGATCTGTGTAGTGAGACCCTGTAGACCCTGTACTAAATACATGATAATAATAATATAATAATAATAATAATAATAATGATAATAATGATTAGGGCCCCTATAGCCCCACAAACCAAGCCCTCCGAGTCTAAGAATACACTTAGAGACTAGAGCAGCAATGATGAACCTACAGCACACCAGTTATTTGTTTTCTTTTAAGACAAAAGATGTTAATGTATGAGTTGTCTTTCTCAACGAAAATCCCAGGATTTTGGTTGAATTGCAACACTGGTACTTTGTACTGAGTGGGTTTTGGGCTGCATTTTGTTGCAGTTTGGATGGTCATCTCTGAAAGGCTCGCCCTCCCTTAACTAGAGCACCGCAGCACTGTTGGGGCATGGTGGTGAGTGCTGGGTCTTAGGCCTCTTCTCATGATTTGATGATGACTTTATGAGTCTCTTCATTAGCATGAGGAGGTGAACAGCGACAACTGGGGCACGTAGAAGACTAAGCAGACAGTTACCAATATCAACAGAAGCCACCCAGCCCACACTTTGTTTGAAAGGCAGAAAGTCACAATTGCCCTTGCTTTTATGAAAATGTCATGATAATGTGATCCTTTGGAGCATAGGGCACCCTCACAAATCCAGCCTCATTCCATCTTTCCAACAGCTCTGAGAAGGAAATAGACCAGAAGTAACTCATTTCGTTTTACAGCTGAGTTTACAGACTCATCTAACACACTTATACATACAAAGCAGTGTGCTAGGTGGGACTGGAGGGCACCCAGCCTGCACAGTCCTGGGCTCAGAGCCACCAGAGGGGCTGAAGGTTGCAGTTACTTGTCTAGAATCACAAGGTATCACTGGGGAAAGCCAAGAGGAGGATTCCAGTTTCCCCTATTCTTGTGCAGGATTTCCCCCCCCCTCCCCTTTGGTTCAGATGAAGATAGATAAACTCAAATTGAGAAAACATCCTTTTTTTTTTTTTTTGTATTCCACTAAGGAGAATTTGCAAATGAA